ACGCGGGAGTCGCCTTTGCCATCCGGAAAGACATCATGGGACGACTGCCCTGTTTGCCGCAGGGAATCAACGATCGCCTGATGAGCCTCCGTCTGCCTCTCCGGCGGGGTGGGCAAATTCAACACCATCATCAGCGCCTACGCTCCCCCGATGACCAGCCCTGACGCCGCCGCAAGATACAAATTCTACAAGGACCTACACTACCTCTTGGCGACGGTGTCGAAGGCTGATAAGTTGATCTTCCTTGCTGACGTCAACGCCCGCGTCGGCACAGACCATACTGCCTCGAGAGGAGTGCTGGGACCCCATGGTCTCCGGGCTCCAATGACAACGACCTGCTGCTCCTCCGCACTTGCGCCGAACACCGCCTCATCCTGACGAACACGTTCTTCTGTCTGCCGGAGCGAGAGAAGGCCACCTGGAGGCATCCTCGGTCGCGTCAGTGGCACCTGCTGGACTATGTCCTCATCCGGAGGCGAGATCAGCGGGACGTGCCGGTGACGAAGGCGATCGCGGGTGCTGACGGGTGGACCGACCATCGCCTCGTCATCTCGAAGATGCGTATTCGCCTACAGCCTCGCAGGAGACCACAAGGCAAGCGACCGCCAGGTAGGCTGAATATTGTCTTGTTGTCTTTGCCTGCTCACCATCTTCATTTCAGCAATGGGCTGGCTCAACGGCTAGACAACCTTCTAAGTCGCTGCTGCTGTTGCCGCCGACGCCGCTGCTGAGAACGCTTCCGTGGAGAACCGCTGGTTTCAACTGCGAGACACGGTACAGTCGACGGCGCTGGCCGTCCTCGTCGCGCACGCCACCAACACCAGGAATGGTTCGACGACAACGACGCCGCCATCAGAAATCTGCTAGCTGAGAAGAACCGCCTACACAAAGCCTACGTAGATCACCCCACTGATGCCACCAAAGCTGCCTTCTACCGCAGTCGCCGACAGCTTCAGCAACGACTGCGCGAGATGCAGGACGCCTGGACTGCTCGCAAAGCTGAGGAGATCCAAGGCTACGCGGACCGCAACGAATGGAAGAACTTCTTCTCCGCGATCAAAGCTGTCTACGGTCGGCCGACGAAGGGCACTGTTTCTCTCCTCAGCGCCGACGGCAGTACTCTCCTGACTGAGAAGACGCAAATCCTGCAGCGATGGGCCGAGCATTTCCGAGGTGTCCTCAACAGCCCCTTCACCATCTCCGACGCCGCCATCGCCCGTTTGCCGCAAGTGGAGACCAACGTGGACCTCGACTTTCCGTATTCTCTCTAGAAAACCATCAGGGACGTGCCAGAAGATGCGGACCCACCTGTACGCTACCCTCGTGGACCTGACGAATGCCTTTGACACGGTGAATCGTGAAGGACTGTGGAAGATCATGCAGAAATTCGGCTGTCCGGAGCGATTCACTCAGATAGTGTGTCAGCTGCACGAGGACACGATGGCGTGAGTCACGGACAACGGAGCTGTCTCAGAGGCATTCGCAGTGACCAACGGAGTGAAGCAGGGATGCGTGCTGGCGCCCACCCTCTTCAGCCTTATCTTCTCTGTCATGCTGATGGACGCCTACCGTGATGAAAATCCCCAGGTATCCGCATCACCTACAGGACGGACGGTCACCTTCTGAATCAATGGCGGATGCACTTCCAATCGCGTGTATCCACAACCACCATTCACGAACTTCTCTTCGCCGACGACTGTCCTCGCACATTCACGCATTGCATGTGCCTACTCGGTCATATTTGCACTCAAGAAAACCTGCGGTAGACAACCGCCGGCTTCAGAACATCGTACCCTCCCTCCCTCACCACCACCCCACCACAAATCAACACTCACCCGTCGCAAACACCCCACTGCCACCTCCCATGCAAGTGGGAAATGTGCATCTCGACTCGGTCTCCGTGCGGCTTCTGCTGCACGACCCGACATCGGTCCTCTCTGCTCCAAAAGGCATCAATCATGTTGTCTTGTTTTCCTGTGGTCCAATCTTTGAAATGCTTAATATGAATGACTGTAAAGTGTTCAATAATGATGCACTTTGTGTCCAAATTGGCATTTTGTAACATTAGATACCAGCCCCCCCCTGTTTGGCAGTCGTCTACCACCTTCTCCAAGAAGTATTGATCCGGGTCAGAAGACGAAGATGCAAGCACTGAAACAATAAATTTATTGGCCTGACTTTTCGGATTCTCACTCGAATCCATCATCAGTGTCATTCGCAGATAAAGGTGATGGTGGCACAAGGAGTGCAGTATTTGTAGCACGTGGCTGCCGTCGGACCGTATGCGTACTGTAATCCACAGCTCTCGCAATCACCGCTGGGGTCGTACTTGATGCGGTGGTGGCTTGTCGGTTCGAGACGAAGTCATTAATGGCCGCGACTTCGTCATCCGTGCTGGATGCTGGTGTGACTATTGCTCGACAATTTGGCTCACCGTCACTGGGATAATTACTCGACCGCGCACTTCCCACGTGACTTATTCCCCTGCCCAGGGAAATCTCAGCACGGAATATGGTACCGGGAAGTCATTGTGCTTGCTGATGTATTGCGGGCCTGAGAACCATGACTCGAGCAGCCCGCAGTTCACGCGGTTGTCACCCCTTGCGAGGATTTCGGCCTCTTGAAATTTAAAAATATGGCCGGGTCCCGTCGAGTGTGCCGCCACCTGAGAGATAGCGCCTCCCCACCTCACTGCTGCTGCGTGCTCGGCAATTCGCGTACGGAATAATCTCCCAGTTTCTCCGACATAGTTACTTTGTCCGAAACTACACCAGATCCGGTAAACGACTGCAGACGTTTCCTGCCGTGGCAGAGGCTCTTTTGGCCTCATGACTTGGCGCTTAATGGTTTCTTTCGGCCTGTGTGCAACCCCAAGTCCAAGTGGAGTGGGAAGACGACTGACGGATTCCGAAACGTTATTCAGGTACGGAAGGGCCCGCCGTAAGTGAAAAACCTAAGGATCCCTGCTGCACAACTACAGTCCTCCGCTCTACCAGCTGAGCTATCACCGGATGACGGCAGAATGTGCTGACCTCCCAAAGTGCATTTGGACCGATTCATAGGTTAGGTTGTCTGTCTGCACTCCACAGTACGTTCTTGTATACAGTCTGCATTTTCGTTAGTCTTTTTCTTGGAGAATTCTCATTGTTTGGTGGCAGCGCATAATTTGAGCAGACCTTCATTTGGCATATCAAGGCCCCTACTGCGCCTGCACGTCTTGACGTGTTCCCTGTGATATCGACTTCTATTCTAATAGAGCTGACTTACACCACACAAACAATGTTTGTGCACTCTGAGATGTCATTGTACTCCGCTGTTTCCACTGTCGTAGTCATCCGGTGATAGCTCAGCTGGCAGAGCGGAGGACTGTAGTTGGGTAACAGTAATCCTTAGGTCGGTGGTTCAAATCCGCCTCACCGGAGCTAGTTTTTGTTGAACTTTGTACCAGATCAGTTAGCTGGTGGACTGCTTAGATTTTCCTATGTTCGTGGCTGACGCAAAGCAAGTGCGTGTACTGAGTGAGCATAAGGAACGATTACACCATGTGGCTCTGCTACTAGATGTGATACTTGACTGGGATGTAGGACCAGTAGAGTGCAAGGAACTTGTGGGACACATGAAATATAGGAAAATGGGCAACAGTTTTGCTGCCTTGATGAGGGTTCAAATGTCAAATAGCCTTAGGAAGCCCTCTTAAAAAGGGGTTCGCATTGAAATTCAATTCCTCCTATTGACATCCATCACGTTCTTCCAGTTACTTACCAGCCAACTAGTCTGGCATAAAGCTCAACCAAATCTAGCTCCAATGAATCGGATTTAAACCACCGACATAGGAATAACTGTTGCACAACTACAGTCCTCCGATCTTTCATCGACGGAGTGTAAGTACATGACGAAACTGCGTTTGGACCCGTCCAAAATCTAGTTCAGCGGCTTGTACTCAGCGCAAATCCACCTCTCCCGTTATCCTTTTCTCAGTAGTCAAAGTGTTCAGTTATGAAATTGAGCACTGATTGGGAGCTGGATCAACGCCACACTCCCTTCATCCCGCAAATTTCCAGCCACCCGACCCCAAGAAGTCGATAGGGGATACTTAATAAGTGTTTTGGTAGATTAGGTCTAGAGGCTGATGGAAAACGTAAACCCCGTCTGACGTGTACCAGGCGTAAACATTTACACCAACATGACAATTATGTCGTCGCTAGAGATCCGTTCTGATTTCATGAAAGCATTCCTTCGTGTGGTCACTTCTCTTCTTTCTTCGGAGTCCTCCTTTTTAGCGGTAAAGCGAAAGATTATAAATTGTGCTCTGACTTATACCGGCGTTCGAGTGCAGTGAGATAAAATGTTTCCCCTTACCTCCAACCCCACGTCACTCGGGATTGGTGTGCTTCAAGGCAGTGTGCGTAGTTCGCACTTCTGGTGCCACCTCGCCAATGACGTGCATAGTATACTCAGAAATGCATACGCTGCCGACTAAGAAGTTGTCCGCTGAGAAGAACCGAGAGATCACGTCGTCGCATTTTCGTTAGTCTTTTTCTTGGAGAATTCTCATTGTTTGGTGGCAGCGCATAATTTGAGTAGACCTTCATTTGGCATATCAAGGCCCCTACTGCGCCTGCACGTCTTGACGTGTTCCCTGTGATATGGACTGCAATTCTAATAGAGCTGACTTTCAACACACAAACAATGTTTGTACACTCTGAGATGCCCTTGTACTCCGCTGTTTCCACCGTCGTAGTCATCCGGTGATAGCTCAGCTGGCAGAGCGGAGGACTGTAGTTGGGTAGCAGTAATCCTTAGGTCGGTGGTTCAAATCCGCCTCATCGGAGCTAGTTTTGGTTGAAATTTGTGCCAGACCAGTTAGCTGGTAGACTGGATAGATTTTCCTGTGTTCATGGCCGTATGTGTACTGAGTGAGCATAAGGAAGGATTAGACTGTTTGACTCCACTAATGGACGTAATACTGGTCTCGGATTTAGAACCCTTAGAGTGCAAGGAGCTTGTGGGGCAAATGGAGTTTAGGAAAATGGGGAACAGTTTTGTTGCAATGATGAGATTTCAAATATCAAATGGCATTAGGAAGCCCTCTAAAATGGGCTTAGCATTCCAATACAATTCCTCCGATTGACTTCCATCACTTTTCTCCAGCTACATACCAGCCCACTACTCTGGCATATATTTCAACGAAATCTAGCTCCAATCAGTCGGATTTAAACCACCGACGTCGTAATATCATTCTGCCTATATCATGCGCCGCTGTGCGCCTGCTGGTAGGGCTCGAGAGAGAGTCCATAAGGCACAACGGAACGAGGGAGTTCCGTAAGAACGATCGGTGAGCGCCCCCTACCATTGTAGGAATAACTGTTGCACAACAACAGTTCTCCGATCTACCACCGGTAGAGTGTAATCACAAGACAAACTGCATTTTGGACCGCCTAACAAGCTAATTTAGTAGCTAGTACTCTGCGCAAATCTACTTCTTTTTATACTCCTCTACATCCCCCCCCACACGCACGACAGTTCGACCATCAAATTCGTTGATGTCCACCGTGTGCCCCTAAGCAGCATCAGCAGCAATGGGAGCAGGGATGGTGACTTGCGCAGGGGTTTATAGTGCCAGTAGATTTGCGCTGCATCTACCTACACTCTCTCCTCCTCCCCCGCATGGGCCCGGTGTCAAGACAGAGTCAAGAAGACCGGAGACGAGGGAGGCCGCAGGTGGATGGCTCGGACGGATCCTCACCTTGGCGTTCCACCACACCCCCTGGTCCACACAACAATAACCAGGATTTCAACCAACACAACAGAGATTTGAAGGCTGGCACGATCGAAGCCGCACCTAGGTGTGCCGCCGACGCCTGTCTCGGATCCCACACTGTAGTGGGAATGCCATAAAGGCCACATTAAGAAGGGGCCATTGCACCCTGACTCTCAGGCCGCCTCCAGTCACGGAGGAGATCCAAGTTACTTCGTCAGTTGGCAACCTTCCAAGCCACGGCTTTTAGCGCACCGTGATAGCTTTAGGCGCGTCAGATTGTTTAAAGTGAGGAAGAAAGTGCGCTGAATCGTCGACCTCACTCTCCCTTCCCACTCCCACACCCCAGCTACTGTCCGAGCCGGTCAGTAGACTGGAGTGGGGAATGGGCGCGGTGGCTGGCACGGTCGACTGACCATGCCTGTGTGCGCCACTTGCAT